TTAACGACTACAGTTTATAAACCACAGATTGATTTTAACAGGCAGATTCATCTTTTCAGATCCTATAGGCATACTTTCTAAGTGTTGAAACTGATTATAAGCATTATTTCCTATAGACATAATATCTAAACATAGAAACTGGTTTTTTATACTTACTTCCTATAGGCATGATGTCTAAGTGTCAAGACTGATTTTATATGTATTTTCTATAGGCATGATATCTAAGTGTTGAAATTGTTTTTATGCTTATTTCCTATAGGCATGATATCTAAGTGGGTAAAGGCGTTAACCAGTTGCCAAGCGAGTTCAATAAAGAATATCCTAGAGATATGATCTCTAATGCACACATGGGTTTGAAAAATATGGTTCTTGATGCAGAATTGATAAAACTGACTAGAAGCAGGATTTCTAGGATGTAAAGTGAAAATTCAGGATTACAAATAACGCGATAAGTCCTATAGTCATGGTTTCTAATGGCATAAAGAATCACCATAACAACCTATAGGCATGATTTCTACCCGAACCCAACAAAGATATATAAAAATCCCTCTCCAGCTTTTACTAATAACCTCATATCTATTTTTACAAGGATTATTATATTATTACAGACCATTATGAATAAATTACACAATGAAAAATCATTATACTATAGGGAGCCTTGGCAGGCCCAATGTCAACCTGTAAGCCAGGCCTTCAAGCAAGTCTGATGTCCACGGGTAGTTCATAACACACAAATAGGCTTCTGGTGTGTCAAAGTTCCCAAGGGACTCAGGGATCCCAGGCAATGCTCACACCAGAACCTTTTCAAAGAAGCAATTTTGTAAAGAGTTTGGAAGGCCAGCCCCAGTATGTCAGAGTTCGGAGGAGTCTCATGGATCCTAGGCAGTGCTCACACTGGGGGTGGTAGGACCCTAGATAACTAAGAGTAGAAGTTTGAAAATAATGTATAAGGGTAGGGGACAATTTCAGAAAGAAAGCAGTTTGATTTTTCAAAAGTGAACAGAAACAGAATAGAACCATATTCCAGCAGATTGATTCAGATATAGATACAAATAATTAAACAATCACAACAAAACAAGAACACTTGAATTATAGACAGAACTGACCACACACATTCATAATCCCTAAACAACTTCTGAATAGGGACCAGGTAATCAAAACAAAGTTCACATTGCTGGAGTTAACTCGATTTACTGGTTATCACTAGGTGGAATCATGTAGACAGGTATTAAGCAAAGGAAAACATGCTGAAATTAAAATGACTAGCCAAACAGCCATACAGAACAGGGTGGGGTAATAGGATTTAAACATGTTATTTTCAGAAACAAGTAACAAGTGTCATGGAATAAACAGAGACATGCTAAGGTAAACTAATCATACTAACATGTAGAACATGATAAGTAAATAGGAATTAAGGCACGCTAGTTAAGAGAGCAATAAACAGGAACATAGAGCAAACAGAAGCATGTTGAAATTCATAATGAACTGACTACATAGCATATAGAGGAGAGCATAATAACAGAAATTGAGGCATACCAGTTAAGAGGTAGCAAATAGGAAGGTGAAGGCAAGTGGAATCCAAGAGTCTAGCCTTGGCTTTCAGCCGGCTAGACAGAATAGCAAATAGAAGTTACAAAAAGAACTACAATTATGAGTGTGGGTAAGAGTTTATACGTGTGTAGGTGTTTCTTTCTGTATCTTTCCGTGTGTTTTTTCGTGTCTTGTAAAAAATCATAATGGGGAGGTTTATATAGCATTTAGAAAAGTAAAACAAATAAGGCAAAGAAAGTTAAGAGTTTACAAATAAGGCATGCAAATAAATTAACCAGTTAACTAGAGCTAGACCCAATCAATTAACATAGTAAGATCCGGGAAAGATCCCTTAAATTAGGGAGAATCAATTAGCAGCCAAGTTTGAGGTTTAATAAGGTAACCACATAAATCAAAGACCATTTATTGGCCGGTTAAAACAATCAAATTCCAGAAATCAGGCTGGTAACCTAACTAAGGCAATTAGTACCAATTATGAGTCACAAATAAGAAAATATAAGTAAAATCGCAGAGAAATACCAATTTCAACAGAAAATATAATTTTGAATCATAATTAGGCAAATAAAATCAATTAATCTCTGTTAATTGACAGGCCAAAGAATAACGGGCAAATATCATAACAAACATTAAAATGATTAGAAACCTTAGGGATTAGAATATAGATATGAAAACCAGTCGATCAAACAAAGAGAACCGGAGTTAAAACACTCAAACTTTTTAGAAAATTTTTGCAGAAACGTAAAGATGAAACCCTAGCTTTAGAGAAAATCTAAAATTGGTTAATAACAAGAAAAACAGAGGATTTTTAAAGAGAAATATCATATAAACTTAAAATCATCTCAAATCTATAGAGATCTGAACAAACTCGAGTAGAAAGTGACTGGGGTTTTAAAAAATGACAAAGGTGAAACAAATCCGGTTTGGAACCAGAGGTTTAAGCCATAAACATGAAGATAACAGTACTCACAAATATAGAGATTAACACAGGCAGGTTCATCGAGAAAATGAAAGGTTTAGACCGAGTATTGTTCGAATCTCCTTGAGATTCCATCAAACAACAAAGAAATCGAACAACCAGTAGAGGTAGGAGGTCGGATGGGGCCTAAGATCAATGGAAAACCCAATGGATTGAAGGGGTCAGGTGACGGCGACTAGGGTTAGGGGAGAGTTTGAGAGAGAAGCGATGAGGGAAAGGAAATTAGGGCAGCGAGTTATGGGAAGTGAGAAGGGTTTGGGGGGTTAGGGGTTAATTAAAAAGGAAATAACATCCTGGACCGTTGATCTCTAAGATCAACGGCCAGGATTTGATCTGGGGTTGGGCGGGTCAATAGGAAGTTGGGCTATGGGTTACGGATCAGGGTTGTTTAATTGGGCTAGGGTAGTATTTTGGGCCAGGTCCGAAATTAAACCAAATTAAAAGAGGCTATTTGTTAAATACCCAATTAATTGATAAACTAATTTGTAAAAATAGTTAATAAATGATAAAAATTATTTGTATGCATAAAAATGATTTAAAATAATTACTTAATATTATAAAAATACAAAATGTCATTTTTCGTGTGAATAATGTAATTATGCATATACGGGTTATTATTGCAAAGTTATTGCAATTATAGCTTAAAGATACAAATATAATTATGTATAAAATGATTACGGCTTAATATAAATATAAGTGATAAAAAATCAAGTAATAAATCATCATAAAATTATTTGTGATGCAATTAGTAATTATTTGGATAATAAAATGCTAGAATAAAATAATTAAAATCCTTTTAAAATTACAGAAAATTATGGAAAAATACTGGTTGATGCTCATGCACTATTTTGAAAGTATATATGCATTTTAAAAATATATGAAGGAAAAATTGGGTATCAACATCGATGATCGAACAACCCTCGGGAATGAACATTTTCAAGGGGGGCTCTTCCGCTGGTTCATCAACAACCACATCAGGGGCGATCTCTTCAACCTTAGTGGTCGACCGCGAAGAAGAAGGAGCATCCTTTTGGGGAACAGATTTTGATGTTTTTTCCATTGTTGTGGGGAAAACTTGAAAAAGATAGAGAAAGATTGAAAGTTGGAAGCTTAGATGTGTTGACTTAAGTGGATGATGAGTAAGAATTTTGTAACGAACTGAAGAACCTTAAGTAACGAGGGTAAAAATGCTAGAGTATAAAAAAGAGAAAACCAAGGGGTACGAGGGTAGAAGTATTGACGTGAAGTAAAAAATGGACGAAGGAGGGGGATATTTATAGAGGTTCCGCGGCGTTTTACGTCCAGGAACAACCGACCGACAGCTGACAAGCATTTAATGCCATTATGACACGACTGACGAAATGTTTCGGGTTTTTTGTCGTTTCTGTCACGGCATATCGAAGAAGGAATCGGGGAGCTCATGTCGTTTCTCATTATTTACTCTCCAAGAAACGATGGGACTATTTGTATATGGGTAAAACTGGGCTCACGGTACACCCCGGTCTCTGATATGATAAATTGAGCTCAAAACACTATGACGAAGGACCGGAATCGAAGCAAGGGTCTCATCGAGTCAGAGTCCGGGGGCATAATGCGCACCCTCAAAAATATCGGGGTCATGATCCGAGGTCGATCCAAACCCCGAAAGACTTCGAAGAAGATTGTCTTGCAATCAAGCACGGCCCTTAGAAGGCCGTAATATCTGTGACCAGCCGAATATCACGGCGTGAATGTCGGCACGTATCGATAAAGAACCAGCAATCAGTTAAAACAGAAGATTTTTTTCCTTTTATGTAATTGTACCTAGAGTAAGATTCCTCTACTATATAAAGGGAGTCTGCAACTCATGGGGCAAATGATAACACGCATTCCAAGGCAAATATATTATTATTCTGGTTCTTTAGTGTTGATCTTTGTAAGCCCAAATCGGGGTGGACATATTACATTGAGGCTACAACCATCTTCATCACGTGATATGAGTTTAATACATCTTTATTTACTTAATCTAGCGATGTTTATCGTTTGTATCGAATTATTCTGCATATCCTTAAACCACTTACAAATTTAATTGTTATCCGATTTTGAGGGTAAACAGTAATCTAACATCAAATACCTGGAACTAAAAAGTTCGTATAAAGGAATAGAAAGGAGGGAGAAAGAGGTGTAAAGCATTTAATGGGAGATATTTTAGAGGGTAATTAAGGGGGTAATAACGTCATTCAATTTCTGAAGGATATTTTAATAAAATAATTTCAAATAAAAGTCCGCACACTTATAATATACTAGTACTAGTATTGTATAATTACAAAAATCTCACAACTAATTAAAGTAGAAATGGAAAAAAAGAGATCAACTAGATTAAATGCATTTACTGATCAGATTTGCATTGACAAAATTCAATTAGCATTTAATAAATTCACCATAAATAGATGATCTCCGTTTAGTATTATCTTAATAGCCTGACCCGGCGTAGCTGGGCCTTTTTTCCTGTGGATCCTCCGGATTCGTCATCCGATCGAAGCAGCAGAAGGTTTTTTCACAACAACAACACGCTTACTAGTATAATTCTTTTACATTTTTTTCCAATAATTTTAGATTCATCAAATAAATAGAGGATTTTGTTTCTAACATTGATTCCTTTTGTTGATTTATTTTTCCTGGATTTTTTAATTGACGATCATAACTTAGGGTTTGTACATGCATGATTGTTAAAAACGGGAATGTGGAATGTCAGATTTTGTGACGCTACAAATTTGATCTCAGTGTGTAATTTTTGTTGTAAACCATGTTTAATTTGCTATTTGAAATTAAATATATAGATGGTTTGCGGGAATATAATCAATTTTTTTTTGTGAGAGAAGAAAAATGTAAAGAGTAAGTGGGCAATAGATCAAACCGTGCATCAACGGGAGAAACTCTCGAGGATTTCTTTAAGATCTTATTATTTAATTAGTGATATAATTATTTTACACTTATTTCTCCTCTTGCAGAATGGTAATGGATGGCATTGTGGAGTCATTGAACAAGGCATATCAGGAATTTATAACAGCAGCAGCCATTGTACTAGAGACAAGAGAGATTCACGGTGACCAAAAAACAGCAGCTGTGAGTTCTGCTATTGAAAATTTCCATCAACATTTGTTATTATTCAAATCTACTTGTGATGAAGCAGAAGGATTTGTTGATTATTTGAAGCATAGTTTAGGGTGCGAAAAATTTCCGTCTTATTCTCCAGAACATGTATCAATTGATAGTGACAATATTCAGTGTAATCCCATTCCTATGGAGGCTGATGATGAGAAAACGAAGACATCATACTAGTACATCAAAGCCTTAGAAATTAATTCCAGACAAATCTTTATAAAATGCCATCGGACTAAAGGCATATATAATGATCCATTTTTAGGGTCATTATATTCTTGTTGGAGTAAACAGATTTAGTTAATTGAACAATTTGCATCACTAGTTTGTTTTTGAAGTTTGGAAGTCATAATGTCAAATGATGTATTTGAACATGTGACTTAGATTGATAGTTTTTTACTCGTGGTTTTATTTTGGTAGTAAGTTCAAGACATTGGCCATGCTTTTACATTTGACTGCAAAAATGTGTTTTAATTACGTAGTAGGTAGAGGCCAATATAATCCTGCTAAATTGGTAAAATAAGGAGTCAAGATGTTTTAGTTCTTGGCTTTTTAAATCTCCGTGAAAGATAAACAAGATGTCATGTTCATCCTATAAATTTCGGCCATTTAAAAATAGATTAAATGACTTAAAAAGCTTTTGTTACAGAATGTGAATGACCATTTTACTCATAAATTAGGAGGTAAGGTTTTATGTTCCTCCTTGAATATTTTTATATGTTGTTTATTAATGTATTTGTTTACCTCGAAAATACGAGTAACAATTAAATTTGATTTGTGGTTTTGAAAATATGTGATTTAGTTCAATACCAAATAATAATCAAGAAATATGAAGTAGAAATGAAATAGACAAGTGAATCAAACCAATGTTACTTGATAGAGGTGACCTCGAGCTTAGTGACCTCGAGGTGGACTTAGAACAATAAGAACAATTAAGTAATAAAGGTAAAGTAAGAACAGTAGAGCTAAAGGATAATTCTGATGAACAGTAGGCAAAAAGTAGAGAGTATATTCTTTGTTTAATGATTAGATAGGTGTTACAAATAATTGGTGTCCCCCTTATATAATAGGAGAATTCTAAATAAGGTATATTTCTATTTATAGTAAGGAATATTCTTGGTACAACTGTCTAACCGCCTAGTACGGAATCGTACAATCCTATTCCGGAATTTGCGTCATGATCTTGGAAACATGGCAGGAATCTAGCTCATTCTGTTACAAATCTATAACGGTACTATTTCGGGGTCGAGTATACTTGACCTCGGTATTCCTCGTACTCTTATCTCCAATTCTGTCTTCGAGCTCGAGTCTGGTCCACCTGGCTCGAACTCAACCTCACCCGGACTCGGGATTAGGACGGACCCTCGAGCCTATAAGTCGGTTTGAATGTGCCTTCCTTGGCTCAAAAGATTTAGAGGGAATCATGCATATTGATTTTTCCTTTAAGCAGGGATTCTAGAACCACAATCGCCACAGAGTAATTGGGATATTTTTTTCTTGTGCAAAAATAATAGGGATTTTCTTCAAAATAGGTTGTTGGTCAAAGCCAACAATATCAGTTTGAATTTGAAAAAAAAAATCAGGAGTTTAAGTAAAATAATATGTTGTTAGTATAATTTTTTTTTTTTTTGCATTATTAGAGTAACTTGACTTAGATTATAAATTTCACATTTAAAAGACACTTACAATTAATGGTAGATACTCATTGGGTGACCTTATAATTTTTTAAAAGACATTATATGGATAAATCACTTGAAGTTCCAAAGTGTGATATCTGCCCCATTGGAGTAATTTTGCTTGTATTAGAGGAATAGTTTTGCTTGTATTAGAATAGCTCTTGAAATTGTAATAGTTTTTTTTTATCTCATGTTATATTTTCGTGACTTCGTCATGTATACATGTATGGGAAAGGTGTGCACTAAGTATTTCCTTTTAAGAGGGAACAAATCTCCTAATTTTGTTTAGGCAAAATACATATTTTACCCATCGATCTTGTCCTCAGATCTCTCTTACACGCCTCTTAAATACGTGAATAATATTGCACACCAAAACTTTTAAAGGTGTATCGATTACACACCACTTCGGTGTTTGACCACAGCTGCTTAAAGATTGCTCTTACACGCGCCAATCAGCATCTGACACGTGTCAAATCGAGAAACAAAACTGAAGAACCCCCTCCCCGNTTTATCTTCTCCACCACCACCATACTACCACCAACCTATCCACCACAAGAACTTTCTTCCCTAACTATAGATTCAATTCTTTGCAGATTTGTAACAAGTTTTAACAACATCCATCATACATCCTTATACAAATTTTAAATTCAAGCTCAAACCCAAAGCTTCAAACTTGTTAATGGTTGATAGGTTATAGGTTCTTTGGTTATAAGTACTTTACTTTATGTTTTGATGATCTAACAAACTTACTATCCATAACCAGCTAAGGAACCTATTAACATTTACAAGACCTTAAGATCACAAGAAGATTGGGATTCAGCGTGGAATATGATTCAACTCTTCAGAGTGGAAGGAACAACTGAGGGAACAGGTCTTTACCAGTTCCCGAGAATACTGTACGAAGTCAACTTTCTAGTTAGAAAGTTGTTGCCTGCACACGCTACAGTGCAGGAACAGTGCTGCAGTTAACTTTCCAGGGAAGACCTTTTACCTACCTTGCTTACATCATTGTAAGTGATGTCACACATGTATATATTCATTCAAGTGAGGTAAAACATAACACTTGAACATTTGACAAGCTTACTCGTGTGACTATCCAGCAAGCAAGTTTCAAGTGCTTCAAGAATAAAGAACAAAACAACTATGGACCAATTCCCACATAGAGTTATTGTATGTCCCTAGTTGAGTTGTAACTTTGTAATAGTTCTTCGTTTGTAATTCCTACCTCGCTTGTTTAGAAGAATTCTGTAGGAAATTCTTTGTAAACCATAAACTTGTATGTTTGAGTCTTGGCTAGATTTAGTCATGTTATAAAGTCTTTGTAATAGAGTTATTACAATGTGGCTTGTACTAGAGTATTATAAGTTAGTAAGGGATTAAGAGGTTAATTCCTAGGTTGCATAGGTTGTAATCTAAAAGTTGCTCAGTAGTAAAATTGAAATCTTACAAGGGTAGGTCGTGGTTTTCAATCCCATTGAGCTGGGAATTTTTCACGTAAAATTCTTCTTGTCATCTATTTACTGTTGTTCGGTGTATACTGTTGAACCTGATAGAGAACCTGGTTCTCTATAGAGTTTGGTGGACCCTTATATTCTATCAATTGGTATCATAGCAGGTTCTTTCTATCATGTTAATACCTAGAAAATATCCCCATAGCTGCTCATCAGTACTTCGAAGAAGGCAGTCTATTTACATACCACCTAGGTTCAATGGACAGTATTGTGGATGGTGGAAAACTAGAATGCATGACTTCATCATGGCTGAAGATTTTGAGCTTTGGGATGTCATATGTGATGGACCCTTTGTTCCTACCAAAAACCTTGGCGACCCACCAGTAGCCATTCCCAAGACAAGGAAAGAATTCAATGATGCAGATAGAAAGGCCATAGAGAAGAAATTTTGTGCTAAGAAAATTCTAGTGTGTGGTATTGGACCTGATGAATACAACAAGATATTAGCATGTCAGTTAGCCAAGGAAATCTGGGAAGCCCTCCGGATAGCTCACAAAGGAACAACACAGGTCAAGCAATCCAAAATCGATATGCTCACAACAGAATACAAGCTCTTCAGGATGCAAGCTGATGAATCTATCTAAGAAATGTATACCTGATTCACCTCCATCATTAACGAGCTTCACTCCCTTGGCGAAACTATTCCAAGAAACAAGCTGGTTAGAAAGACCCTAAGTGTGCTGCCCAGTTCTTGGGAAAGCAAAGTGAACGCTATTACATAGGCGAAGGACTTGTAGGAGTTAACTATTAATGAGCTTGTTGGCAATCTAAAGAAGAAGAAGAAGAAGAAGAAGAAGAAGAAGTACAGTTAAAAAAGAGAGCCCAAGAAGGAGAAGAACGTGGTCCTCAAGACAGAAAATAATGACTCAAGTGGTGAGGATGGTGATATGGCATACCTAACAAGAAGATTCCAAAAGATGGTTCGTAGGAATGGAGGCATCCAAAAAGGGGAAGTTCTAGCAAGCCAAAGAATTATGACCTCTGTTATAAATGTGGCAAGCCATGACATTTCATCAAGGATTGACCTCTCCTAAAGTAGGATGAGTACAAGAACAACTCTGACAAAGCAGCCAAAAGGAACCTGGATCCTAATAGACGCTTCAATAGAAAAAACATCGTTGACAATGTCGTGAGACAAGCTCTTGCTGCATAGGGAGATTCATCAAGCGAATATGGAGAAGAAGATGAACCAGTTAACAGCTCTTAATAGTAGTAGAAAGTGAAGCAACCGAGTATGATTCAATTTTTGCTTTGATAGCCTAGTCTGATGATGAAGATGACGATGATGACGAGGTAAATTTTCTGGATGTTCACAGAAATTTGAAATCTTATTCTCCTAAGAAACTCATGTCTTTAGCAAATGTGCTAATCGACATTTATCTTAGTGTTATAAGTGACAGAGATGTCTTAACAGTTGAACTAGGAGAAGGAGAACAGTCTAGAGATGACCTAGCAATAGTTGCAGTTGATTTAAGAGAGTCAATTGAGAACCTGAAGAAAGAAAGAAATATCTTTAGAAAAGGATTGAAAATGTAGAACAAGAAACAAATGACCTTCTAGTGGTAGTAATGGATTTGAAGGAAACTATTGGGAAACCTAAAATGGAGAGTAGGGCTAAAAATTATCAAAAAGGAAAGAAAGTTGCAAGTGAGGCACATATTAAGCTTGAAAGTGAGCTAATTTGAGTGAAGTTTAGTCTATGTGTTGAGCTTGAGAAAAACAAACAACTTCAGGAAGAACTTGGTAGAGTGAAGAGTGATCTTGAAAAATCACTCAAGTGGACCTGTGTTACACCCCATATTTTTGTGCGTGAATGTACGTCATAAGTAAATTGATGGAAGCTCGGAAAATGAGATGTTACATCCTGCATTTTCGTATGTTAAAGTTTCGTCTTCAGTTAATCCACGTAGACTCGGGGCTGAGACTATCTTGAGGCTGTACATATTTGTGTTATAAATAACAAGCAATAAGTAAGTGTCGTGAAGGATAAAGTGTAAACGAATCAAAGAAAATAAATTTCGTTGAAGGTTATCGAATTGGAATAAAATACGGTCCGAGCCATAATACCCGGTATGTATGGACTAGTACCATACAAGGTACCATATGACAACGGTAGTATGATGTATAAAGTATATTAAAAATAAGTATAATTTTAAGTAATTTGAGATAATTTTTAGTTATGCGGGTAATTGGTTAATTATCGGGTAAGGGGA